GGGAGCGGTAGCAGAAAAGGCCCTCTGGGAGGTCACCGACAGCCTAGTATTTACAGGCTGTAATAAATTCCTCCCAGAGGACTGGAGCACGCAGGGTGGATCATACAGAAGGAGGCGGCCCTGGAGATAAGTTGGACCCAAGCCATGTAGGGCTTTAAAGGTCATAACCAACACCTTGTACTGTACCCGGAAACTAATGGGCAGCTAGTGGAGAGATTTTAGCACAGGAGTAATATGCTCTCTTCTGGAAATTCTAGAAACCAACCTGGCTGCCATGTTCTGAACTAGTTGAAGTCAAGCACTAGGGTAGCCCAATGTAGAGTGCATTACAGAAGTCAAGACATGAGGTTACCAGCTTGTGTACCACAGTTTCAAGATCCTTAGTTTCCAGGAGAGGGCGCAGCTGGCATATCAGCCAAAGCTGATAACAGGCACTCCTGACCATCACATTTACCTGATTTGACATCTGGAGCAACGGATCCAGGAGCACCCCCAGACTGTGGACACAGTCTTTGGAGGAGAGTGTGACTCCTTCCAGGACTGGAAGAAGTACTCCCAAACCTGGTTTAGGGCCCGTTACTGTTAGTACCTCCATTTTGTCAGGTTTCAGTCTCAATCTATTTTTCCTCATCTGCTTTAAGACAGACCATTACTGCTTTAAGACAATCATTGAGAGGAGAGACGCCATCTGAAGTTAAAGCTGAAGACTGCGACATGGAGAAATATATCTCCATACTTCAAAAATAATATTGCAGTGCACAACAATGTATAGAAAAGGATAACTAAAACTACCACGTGACTGGATCAACTCTCCATCTGGAATTTTTTAGTTTAGAAAAATCGTGAGTAAAAGGAAGTAATCACAGAGATGTATACAATTATTCATGGTACAGAGAAAGTGAATAGCTTTCCCCCCTTCTCTCTTAGTACTGGCATCCAAGGTGATCTGATAAAACTTGATGGTAGGAGATTTGGGACAGATAAAAGGAAGTCTCCTATAAAAGCAGTAGTGGTTCCTGTGAAATCCAATGTGGATTCACTGCCCCAAAGCAACAGAGGCCTCTGGTCTGCTTGTCTCTGTGTTCTTTTACTGGCAGGTTATGACTTTTGTAAAAACTTAGGCAGGCTTTTGGCAACAGATTAGCTGCTGAGGATGGGGCTTTTTACTAATAAGGAACTATACTTTTCTTTGGGAACATGTATTTTAAATTAGGTTTTTAATTAATTCAAAACAATTTCTAATAGTTGAGTTTGCTTTGTGTTTTAATTCCACTCTTATTTAATAGCACTGTGAGCCACATTGAGTCTTATCTGATTACTACAAAAATCAAATGAACAAACAAATAAATTCCACCCAGCCTTTTTGTAATGTCTTTTACTACATAACTTTATTGCAATCCCCAATGGAAACCAAGCCCAAGTACATGTACTTCCACTCGCTCACATCCTTCTGCTGTTACTTTGGCTTCACCTCCCTTCTTTCTCCTTTTCTTTTGTTGTTGTTTCCCTCTTCACTGAAATTTTGCTTGCAAGTTACTTGGTCCAGTCCCTTTGCTTCTATTATTCTGGCAAGAACTGTCTGTACTCCTTGAGGTCCTATGAGTAAATAACAACAACAATAGAAATAAAGCATGACATAAATACTATTAACACACATTCTGTTCTAAAACACATGTATGCTATTTTTTTCTACATGAATTTAGAAAGTAAGTGCAACACGTCTGTACATGTAGAGCCGACCTAAGTTATCTTGCTGCCTGAGACAGAGTGCAGTCAAGTGGGGAACCTCAACATACAGCCAATTTATTTGGTACATGAGGCAAGAATATCCTAGAAATGCATCTTCTACTTCTTGGCAGTACTAAAAATAAAAATAAATTAAACAGTTATTTGCTATGTTTTCCTGAGACATCCCAAATCTCCTTCCTGAGGTATCTTCCTCTTTGGAGTTTATCACATGGGGAAAAATTGGAAGTTTAAAATGGCAAGAACCTGTTATTAACTCACAATTGCGCAAGTGGTTTTCACATGTAAAGCATAGTTAACCCATGTAGAATCCAAGATTAACCCACACTTGCATGCAAATGCATGAATGTTTTTCACATTTCTCTATCTCACTTGTTCTGTCCATGCCTTTGCCTCAATAGCTGTTTCTTTAAGAGCTCTGGCTAGGAGAGAAGGCTGAAGTGATCCCCAAAGTGTGCCCTTTAAGGGATTTTGGACTTCAGCTTCCAGAAGCCTCGGCCATGTTGGCCAATATTCTGGGATTCTGGGAGCTGAAATCCAAATTCAGTTAAAGGGGACAGTTTGTGGATTGCTGCACTCCAACTAGGAGGAAGGGCTGAAGCAGGAGACACAGAAAGAGAAAGAGAGAGAGAGAGAAATGCGTGGGAATAAGACTGGGAGACAAGCATTCATTCACTCTCCTCTCTCTGCCCTGGCATCAGCTGCTTGTTTTAAGAGCTCTGGCTACAAAGAGGGGTGGGTACTTATTTTAGGAGCTTTATAAGCACTATTACGGTATTGACTCGTATTGCACTGCAGCACTGGAAGTAAACTCACCCCAAAGAACCCATGGGAAATCTGGCAACAAGCACAAAAACAGGGAGAATCCCATGAATAACCCGCAAGTAGCTTCTTCACTACAGCGACTACACAAAAGTCAATTCATGAGTGAAACGGAAATGAATTCATGATATTTCCCCCCAAAATTCCTATTTGCTGGTTGGTGTCACTTTCTTGTCAGATTCTGTGTGGTTTGCGCATAGTGTCATGTGAAAACCATTCATGCATTTGCTCCTAATATGCTGGATAATCATGGGTTCTTACCTGTTTAAACTTCCAGTTTTCCCCATGTGATAAATGCTTTGAGTCTAACTGTATGGCTGGCCCTTGTATACACACATACAAGATCTATTTTACCATATATATTTCTTTGGAAATGAATAGATAAAACCCCAAAGACACAATGAGAAAGACTATACAGAAAAAAGATCCCATCCTACTGATGTATCTTGTTGCAGCATTAAGCTTCTGTTTAAGCTCTTTGTTGTTTCTCCTGCTTAGTTTCCAGGAGTTAGCAATGACAAGAGACGTGCTCTCAGCTGGGGAGTTTAATGTCAAAGGTGATGTTCTTTCAAGG